AAAATATTTAATGGCATAGAAAGATATTCACAAAAAACAGCTAGTGAACAAGGATATGAAATTAGAGAATGGTCTCATTCTTGCATTTATAAGTATATATCAGGCTGGGGCAATCTCTCAGCTGATAAAATACCTGTTGCACAATTGTGAAGACCTGAGTCTGATACCCAGCACACACTCATAAAATCTAGGTAAGGTGGCACAGCACTCACCTAAAAAAGCCAGGCCTGGTGGCACATGCTATGTTGTAATCTCAGTTATGGGGAGGCAGAGATGGATGGATCTCTGGGGCTTAAAAGCCAGTCAGCCTAGCCTAATCCATAAGCATAGGGTGCTAGTGGGAGACACTGTCTTAAAAAACCAAAGTGGATGGCTCCTGAAGAGCAAAACCCAAGGCTGACTTCTGGCTTCCACATGCATACATTTGCACACATATATCTACACACACACGCACACACACATACACACACACACACAATATTTTAAAGTATATATCCATTTGTATTTTAAAAAGATGACAAGAATACACACCAAAATATTACTTATAGTTATATCTGAAAGGTTTTATATATAGGCATCTTCAATTTTCTTTTAAAACTAAAGGAAAATTGAACTGAATTTTAAATACAGATTTTAAAAGATTTAAAAAGCTGGAGATGAAAAGTATAGAAATTGAACAAATATGATTTTAAGACTCATTATAAAGCACTTGTATTCATCAGGTCAAATCATGTCCAAAGCGTATCTAATGAATAGAGTCTCTCTCATTAGCACATAAAAGGGCTGATATATTAATGTTAAACTGAGTTCCACCAGCCTTTTTCCATGCTAAAAGCAAAATTGGAAGAGACATACAATGTGGATTACGAACAGAAATAAGTGTCAGTGGCTCAGGGCTCAAATCTTTTCTGTACTAGTAATTACCTTTCTCAGAGCAAATCATAATTTTTCATTATCTTCGTTTATTGATTTGGAAAAAAAGAGCAGTGAAAAATACTGACTGCTACTTCTTAGAGCTGCTATGAAAAGTCACAGACGTCAAGTACTTTGAAAACACTCCAGATTCTACCAAAAGCAAGTGACTAATGAATGAAGTTAAGCATTTTACTGTCCCTGTGCCCCGTATTAAGAACATGGGAGTCAACCCACTTGTCCAACCACACATTCCACTTCCCTGCTGCTTGTGGGGTGCTGCTAAGCAATGTACACATAGTTACTGTTTCTGCCTGCTCATTACTCATTTCTCCACTTTGTCTTGTCAGACTCCCTCTGTGAACCTGTACAAAAAAGTATTTCCCCTTTACTTGTCCAAGATGCCTAGTGATCACATCAAGTAGACCTTCTATCCCAAGAAGGTGGAAATGAAGCAAGGGCCCAGAAGGTTGGGAGTAGATCTGTCCCAATGGTAAGGTCTTTAGTTCCTGCCTCCTCAGTCCCCTTTCTAAGTCTGGGATCACTAGGATTCCCCCAGTTATCTGAGTTGCCCCATTATCTTCTGATGGATTCCTTAAGTCAGTCACAGACAGTTTATGCTAATTATGACCAGAAAAGCAGTTCACCAAAGACCATATGCATGGCATCTCCTTGATGGGAGAGGAGGGCTGAAAACTGTTAATACACAAGCCCTTATACATATATGACCTTGAGGATAGAGCCATGACCTTTCGCTTACTTGCAACAGGAAATGTCCTGGCTTCCCTGGGATGCTGGCCCTAGCCATTGCAGAACAACAATTCTCATTTGAAACTCCAGTTTCCAAAACATAAAGACTACACCTTCCGGGGCTTAATATGCTATCCACTAGCCTAATGTGGCTTAAATAAATTAAAATTAAATAAAATTAAGTTCAGCTCATTACAATTCCAATTTTAACATAGTGGCCTTAGGACTAGCATAAATTGAACAGTGTTAACTGGACTAGTTCATAGCCCAAAGCCCCACACTTGATTCTCCCACAGGACTGACCTCTATGCCAAATCCTTCACTAGTCTGTTGGGACATCCCTGAGTTCTCTAGGTGAATATGCAAAGTAGATATACTAAGAGCCTTGCACACTTGGGAAACTATTAAAACTGAAAATACGCATTTTAAAAAAGAATGCATTAAGAGAATCTTTGAGTGCATTATATATGTATATTTATTAATGTATATACGTACTATAAAACAATAATAAAGATGAGGACAAGAAATTGAGAGGGAGTGGGGGCAAACGGGAAGAGCTGGTGGGGAACTGGGAGGGATGGAAATAATACAAACAATATTCATGTATGAGATTCTCAAAGAATAAATAATGAATAAAGAATAAATGGATGGAAGTCCTATAGAGCATTTTGTTCGGGATTTAACAAGATCTCCTTTAGTTTTACCCAATGGAAGCACAGAAAAACATATCACCCAATGCATTGTCACAAAATATTTTTTTGTAAATTAATTTTTTATTGAATTTTTGTGAATTTCATAGAATATATCATATTTAGATCCCAAGAAATATTCTTGAACTATAATTAAGAATCATAGAATCATGAAAAATTCAAATAAGCTTTTAAAGAAATAAGTTGTAAAGAGAACAAAAGACAAATTCCAGGCTTGGAACCCTAAAACTTGGATGACACTCCACCTCTGGGGAGGCTTCAAGGCCACTTCTGCAAAGCTAAGCTAACACTAACCCAGTAGACTCTTGTAAGGGTAAAATGACATTATATAGGCAAAGGCTCTTAGAATAGTGCCTAACATAGAGAAAGTTGATTCAAAATAGAATGGCGAAGGGAATCTAAGTTCTCACAGGGCCAAGTGTGAAGAAAGGGGTCTGAAGTAGCAAGTAGTATAAATTACTAACCTCCTAAACCCTCCTAAATTTCCTGTCTATTGAGAACAGAATAGACATTGAAGATTGCAGGTCTCCCAGGACTACTGCTTCTATTGTTGACTTTCTTCCCTGTCTCCTCACCAGTGCCATCAACCTGTCTCTTCTCTGACTGAATGTCATGAACCTACTCTCCACGAACTGATATTTTCAAAACAAAAGCCAGCATCCACGTTTGCAGTCTCTCTTGTCGGGGAACTAGCTAATAAACAAAGGGAAAGTCCAGGCTTAGTGTCTGGCTCTACACTGTAAAGATGATGACTTGGTTCACTTGAGTCTCTCAATTTCTTTTGGTTTGTTCACCTTAGACTTATCAATGGGCTAACCACTGAAGAAAATAGGATGAATTTAGTGGTGGTTTTTATTTTTCCTTCCAACAAGTCTCAAAGGTCTCATAATGATTACCACGTATGGAGTTAAGAGAGCACAGAGAGATCCTGAATATGCTAATTTTACTTTAGAAAAATTGAAAATGAGCCAGAAAGAATATATAATATATGTAAGCCTTATTAAGCTGTCATTACTCGGAGCTACAGTTTCCAGGCAAATAAACACCCAAATCTCACTCTTGCAGCTTCTTCTGAGTAATACATTCAACTCAAATCTCCCATCCTCACAAATTCAAAGAGAATTATAGGTGAGTAAGAAAATGAGAATGAGGTAGGGCAATTATAATTCTGAAAATGGAAAACATGCCAAAATTGATTGGGTTGCTCAAGAAAGAAAGAAAAGAAAGAGAGAGAGGAAAGAGAGAGAGAGAGAGGGAGGGAGAGAGAGAGAGAGAGAGAAAGAAAGAAAGAAAGAAAGAAAGAAAGAAAGAAAGAAAGAAAGAAAGAAAGAAAGAAAGAGACAGTCTCCTTCAATATATTTAATTGCACAAAAAGGCCAAAATGTTTTGGGGGGTCTAAGTTTTTGTTGTTTTAAAAATGAAGCAGAATCATAAAAGATATGTTCATGTGTTCTCCAGAGTCGAAGTGAAACTCATTCATGAAATTCAGTTCCTTTATTCAACTTACATTTTCTGAATGCTCTCTCTGTGTCAGATGTAGTACAACAATTGGTGATTCAAAATATTAGTGAAAAGTTGTCACAAAACAACTCAGTCTTCAAGCTGTTTAGTAGAACTGTCCTTAGAATTTCAAGTGACACATCTTTGTTTTAAGATATTGTGATATAATAAAAAATACCAACAAAGGAAAAAACGTCAATATCTAGAGGAGAGAATGGATTAGACTAGGATAAGTTGAAAAAAGTCACATCACAAGGGTAACTTGTGTTTATCTCATCAGGTTAGCAACCTTGTGATTACTATGGCTTAGAGGAAGAAAACAAGCCGACAAAGTCCCTCCTGAGGCAGCCTGTCAGAGGGCACGCAGTCTTTTCTTCAAGGTTAGAGAACTCTCCCTGATAATAGGCCCCGTCTCCTGTCCATATCCTCTCTAGCCTGTCTTCTTGGCATGCACAGCTCCTGTCCGAATCATCTTTCTGAGTGCATGGATCAGATGTGGTTTGTCTCCACTGAAACTCATGCTGCAATCTGATTTCCAGTGTAAGGGTGTTGAGAGGTGGTGGGACCTTTAAGAGGTGATTATTCATGGAGGCACGGTCTTCATAAGTGGATTAATGCTTCCCCCTGTGGGAGTAAGTGATTTCTCACTCTTGGAGGACTGATTAGTCACTGTGAGAACTGACTGTTACAAAGTGAGGCCTCCCTTTGTGTTTTCTTTCTTCTGCCTGTCTACCTTTCTGCTTTTGCCATTTGATAATACAGTGATGGCCCTTAACAAATGCAGTGACTTGTGTCTTAAGACTTTTACCCTACAGAACCATGAGCTAAGTCAATTTCCTTTCTTTATAAACAACCCAGCATCAGGAATTCTGTTATAGCAACAGAAAACAGACTACAATGCTGAAGTAAGTTGGTTCATATTTCACACAGGTTGTAAATCCTTAAACATGGCAAGACAGACATTTGTCAAGGAGCTCTAGAGTGTACTAGCATTTAAGAGACTGATAAGAGTGGAAAGCACAACAGTGCCTGAACCATGACTTACCTTCAGGGAACAGAATGAGGTAACAGCTATGTACATGTGGGTCGTTTCCAAGAGAGTACAGACTTACCACAACAAAAGGATATTGAGCCACCAGGGCAGGACAGAGCTGTGTATTTGGCATAAAAACACAGTGCATCATAACAAAGTCATTTAAAACAGAATCTGGAAGGGTAAAAAAAGAAGAAATTACATTTTTGTGAAAATTTTTAGGAAAGGCAGAATATCTATTCATTTATTCCTGGCTGCTCATTCTTAAGTGTTGGGTTGAGACATGCTTTTCTGAGCATGGAAGCCTTCATCTGAAAATAACAGTGCTCATAGAGATCAGAATTGAATTTGTTAGGGCAATAGATGAAAACATAACATTTAAAAAAGAGACAGCTTTGTATGAATGGCATTAGTCACCTTAGCCACAAATAATTGTTTTTCAGAGCTGGAGGCTTATAAATGCTAGGCAAGTATTCTGTCACTGAGCTGTACCACCAGCCTAAAAATTAAAATGTACACATATATGTATTCATTCAAGAATCATACATGGGCAGTACCATATATACTGAATTAACATGTGACCATCTGTCTATTTTATAGCACCTTTGTTTCAATGTCTTTCTCCTTTATCTTTGTTTTACCAATTTCCAGAAGGCCCAATGAAAGGTGAGAGGACGACAGAATTATGGGGGAATAGTAGAGAATCAGAGAGTGGAGGGGACCAGCCAAAACAGATAAGGCCTGTGAGCAGCACTGGAAGAGACAAAAGCCAGGCAGTGATAAAAGCAATAACTGTGCCTGCTCTGGAGCTGCTCTGTGGGGTGAATCAGAAGGAGATGGCAAGGGAAAGAAGGCAAGTCTCAGGGCAAGCTGCATCTGCTTCATCACTGACATGATGCTGCTCCTTTCAAGAATGACATAATGCAGAATCCTTGAACAAAAGTTTCAGGAGCAACTCTATTGAAACTTGGAACCCAAGATGCTTTCTCAATTTAAAAAATAAAACAAAACAAAACAAAACTTCGCTGGCTGAGGCTTGTGAAACTTTCCTTATAGGAAGGCAGTGGAGATATGCAATTTTATTTCTATGCATTAGCTTTCCAGTGCCCCTGTCTTTGGTAACATTACATTGCTGAAATTTGAATCTGTGGTTAAAGGTTTAACTATTACACTCATTTCAATATGTTGTGATCCCAAGTTGCCATCTCTCAGTGTTACTAGATGGGCATTCCTGTCTCTTTATACTCAGAGAAAATGCCAGAAGACACTGATTGGAGTTTTTTTTTTTTTCTTTTTCTTTTCTTTTTTTGGTCTTTTTGAGTAGCCCAGCTGGCCTGGAACTTGATATGTAGACCAGGTTGGCCTTGATCTCATAGAGCTCTGCCTGCCTCTGCCTCCTGAGACTAAAGGCATGCCCAGCTGGGAACTTATTTTTTAATTACAAAAGGACATTGCTTATCCAGGTTTAGGTAATGCTTGCCTTCTATGCCACCTAGAAGGTATAGTTTAAACTTAATAAGTTTAAGTTTAAATTAAAGAGTAGTTCACATTTTATTAATTTACTTGTTTTTGGTTTTTGGTGCAGGGAAATTAAACCTACAGTCTATACATGCTTGGCAAGTACCCTACCACTGAACTATATTCTCAGCCCTGCAGTAGTTTCAGTTTTGCTAATGCAGAGATTTGCCACGGGTGCCTGAAGGCTGAGGAGCTGGTCACAGCATGGTCAAGCTCCCAACACCCATGGTAAATGTGGCCCTCTTCTGTATTCATGCCGTAATTTTTGAAAATTTACTTAAAACAATCGTCTCTTTCTAGAAAATGATATCCCTCCCAGTCACTCGAGGACTAATGTTGGTCACAGAAGCCCAAAGGCTAGGAAACCAATAGTTCTAAGAAGGAAAACTGATGCTTTGGTAAATCAAGAGAATGTACTGTCATCCCCAGTGGTATTCATTGCCACAACGTAAACAAGCCTCGCCATAATGCTCACAGTGCTCACTCTATTGGCAATCAACAAGTGCCAAAGGTCTTCCTCTCCATTCTATCTGTGTGTCATGTACCCGAGCTAGGATTATTTTTGGTGTCCACAATAGTAATGGGTACATCTGCACATTCGTTTTGTGAGAAAGATGTTGATTTGTTGATTTATTCCTTATCTCCAAGTCATAGAAATAGTAAAAATATTGTAAAAAAATATCAGAAAACTGCAGTAAATGAAATGTGATATTAAACTATGATGGAAGCCTAGTCTCTAACATCAAACATAAAGGGTCAGGATTCACAGCTTACATGACAGTCATTGGGCACACTGACTTCTAGTTTCGACCTGCTTTCTTTTCCTTCTTGTGGTGGGGGAGGTACTGGAACTAGAACACAGGGCCTTGAGCATGCTAGGAAATGTTCCACTACTGGATACATTCTCAGCCCCACCAATTTTTTTTAATAATTAATAATCCAAATACTTGCATCTTTTAGAGATGACTTTAAAAGAAAGAATGTATTTGTTCTTTCTTCCTGAGCAGTAAAGGACTTAACAGATTCTTTCCTTAGATATGATGCAATACCATATCATACCATACATACAACAGTCTCTAATATACCAAAATCTTTCTTTGGGTCATTACTCATTTTAAAGAACACGGAGTTTCTTGAATTATGTAATCACATTACGTAATCTGGACAAGCAGAAACATCCCCTGCATTTTTCCTGACCTCTGGTCTTGGAACTTTGGTTTATTTGGGGTTATGAATACCTCTTGGAAGCAATCCCCTCCTACCTTCTCTCTCAATGGTTCCTCCACTCCAAATACAGAGGAGCCTTTTTCCAACCAAGCTCTAATTGCATTCTCCTTGCTCAGACATTTTCAGTACTTCCCAGTGCGTAGCTTGGATGTGAGACTCTTGAAGATCCACATCCAAAATTCTTAGACCTTACCTTCCTGGTCCACCTAAACAATGAGAGCACAGCAGGACTACACTGCTAGCTCTTCCTTGCTTGCTTCTATGCCACTACTAATTTTGTCCCTTAATATGGAAAGCTGTAGTATGGAAAGCTGTGTCCCATCCCAGTTACTGGTCAGCAGCCTTTCTTAAGGGCCACTTTAAAGGCTAAATGCTCCATGACACTTTCCCTAGCCTTCTTGGTCAGTACCCCTAAAGCACTGGTCATACCCAAGTTATTTGTATATTCTCTCATGCCTTCTAGAAGATTCTAAGCTTCCTGAGGGAGAGCCGGTGATCTCTTTTCCACACTGCCTAACACAAAGCATCCCACTTAACACCTGCCTGAAATAATGATGAGCTGAAAATGACAGGCAGGACCCGGGGTCCTCACTTTTATATCAACCACTCCACTTCATTTGCTGCTTTAAAGAACTCAAGGAATCGATTTATAAAAGAAGACACTGGATGATCAAATAAGAAGTCAGTTGTAAAATACTTCTAAGAAGCATATGTTAATAGTATCTTCATTGAATATATTGCCAAGATCAGTTGTTAAAAGGATTTTGAACTACCACTAAGCTTTAAGCTAAACCTCTGAATTTCCTTTAGTGAAAAATGTCCACGGCACTATTCTAAGACACAGGATAGTAACATAGGATTTTTCTTTTACTTTCAATGTCAGGACTGGAGGTGTAATTGTGTGGTATGGCACTTCCCTAGCCTACATAAGCCCTGGCTTCAACTCCCAGCATTGCAAAGAAGAAGTTGGCTGTGGGTCATTCCTTCAATTTTAGTCACAAGATGGAACTGCTGTAACTTGGGATACTTAGCTCACTTGGGAGATTCCTTTTTTATCCTCAATTCTATGCCTTAGATAGAAAAACTTGTTTACTGTAAGGGAATTTCCATGTTGAATTTTATTATCCCTCAAAGATATGTCATAGTACTAATACCTAGTACCTCTAAATTTGACCCTACTTGGAAATGGAGTCTTTGCAGACATAATCAAGTTAAGGTGAGGCTGCTAATCTGGGCTCTAACCAAACATGTCTGCTGTCCTTATAAAAATGAGACACTAAATACAGAGACAGATACGGATAGAGGGGTGACCATGTGAATACTCACAAGGTGAATGCCTGGCCAACATGAAAGCAGATATCCATATATGAAGGAACACCAAATGTTGCCAAGAAACACCAGAAGCCAAGAGAGAGGCATGGAACAGACTCCATCACAACCCTCAGAAGGAAATAACCTACTATCACTGCCATCTTGGACTTGCATCTCCAGAACTGTAGGATAATCTGATGCTATTGTCTGAGCTCTTTGTTAGGGTAGCTGCAGCAAACCAACCATAGATGGTATCTAGTTATAATCTGGGAAAGATTCTACAACTACAGAAAGGATCATTCATCCTCAATGTGGGCAGCTTCAAATGCTCCATGGAAAGAGGCTGGGTTTAAATTATAATCTATTGGATACCTTTGTGAGGTGGGACTGAATGGCAGTGTAAGTGAAGCCTATGAAAGGTAACTCTAACGTACCTGAATGAAACTGAATCACTTCAGGGGACATCCACATTTGGAAAGGGTCAGAGTACTCAGAAGAATCATTCTCTGTCTGCACCACCCAGGGACACTTTTAAATACAAACGCACATGACCCACCTCTACAATTCCTTTGGCAGCACAGACTGAGAATAAATCGGGATTTTTTTTTCACAATTCTATGCATGGATTTAGTGGACACTCAAAACTATTCTGTGTGCATACCTGTCGCTTCATTTAAAGATGGCTCAAGGCGTATAGTTTCTAGAAAATGCTCTAAAATTTTTTCAGGTGTTCCTGACATCACAGTATACCTGGACAAGAAATAAATACCATTAGTTTTTCAAAAGTGAGAATCATTAAGAAAATCAAATTACTTCTGCATATTTTTAGAAATTGAGATCCTAGGGAACCATATGGACTTATTTGTGACCAATATATTCTCTGTGGTGAGGGAGGCCTTGGACCTTGCCCAAGCACACAAGAAGTCAGTAGAAAAACCACCAACAAAGTAGTTAACTAAAAATGTTCTTTTTTTCCCTACATGGAACTAAAGTAACTTCCAGAAGAGCAGCCCTCACAGGCTGGAAACTGAGGAACTTCAGCCTTATTCCAAAGGAGGAATGAAAGGGAACATATAAATTGTAGGGCAGGGCAGGCAGGGCAGGGCAGAGCAGGGTGGGAAAAGGACAGTGAACTGGGTCACCCATATATATGGGTCACTTGTGGGAAATTTCAGTCCCACACTGGATTCCCCTGCCTATTTCTGGAATGCTTCCGTCTTTCCCAACTGTACACTGGTATGCGCTTTGGAAATCAGCTAATAATAAAACAAGAGAAAACAAACCCCCAAGCACTGATAAGCAGACAAACGCAGCATCATGAATATGAACTAAATCAATAACAGAAAGGTCTATATAACTTATTCAATGCCAAGTATAAACTACCTTTAGGGGGCCTCATTAGTCATTATTTCAGAGGATCCATCTAGGGTGTTCTCCAATCAACAAGTTGAGTATTTACTTTTAAAATTGAATGTAGATTAAAGTCAGAGTCAAGATAGTGACAAATACTAAATGAAAGCTGGAGGGAGGCAAAATACAAGAAGATGCAGTGTCCCTCGGCTAAAAGCCTGACCTGGCCTTCCTCGGCAAAATGACAGAAAAGAAAAGCAATAATGCAAAGATGTTCTTTCATGTTCAGAAAGCAGAGGTTGAACTGAGCTTGGGGAGAACCCAGCTTTCTTTGCTCCTCACCAATGCTTTCCTGGCCTGTTTGAGACCTTGGAGGAGGTGTGTTGAGCTAGCAGGAACATCTCTAATGTCAGGAGAGCCTTACTTCCTGCCTGAGGGACTGAAGAGACCTGCTAGCATAGGACCCTGTGTATACGAAAGTGGAGAGTGAGTGGGGCAACTGTGTTGAATTAGGAGCCTAGAAGGCAGCTGTCGGCTAAAACGTCTGTGAGCACATGCAGGGGAGCAAAGTGAAGGAGCTAAGCAGTGAAATCGTACAGGAAACAGGGCTTTGGGGCCCAGAGAGGAGAAGACAGAGAAGTAGGAATAAAATTCACTTTAATACCAAAAGTATAACCTCTTTCTTGAAGTAACTAGAACAGATGGCAGGCTGGAGGCAATGAATCTTGAAGGAAGGGAGAGGACAGCATATTATAAAAGACTTTGAGTGGAGAACATTGCTTAGCTCCTTCAGTCATATTCCTTCCTAGAAACAATGCAATGATGATGACGATGACAATGATTGTCTCTCTCTCTCTGTGTGTGTGTGTGTGTGTGTGTGTGTGTGTGTGTGTGTGTGTCCCTGGGGACTGAACCCAGGGCTTTATGCATGCTAGGCAAGTAAGTGCTCTGCCATTGAGACACAGCCACAGCCGAAATACGTGATTCAATAGATGAGTTGTAAGAGAAGCAGCTTGTGGCCATATTAACCAGGAAATGGGGTTGGAGAGAACACTCTGCATCTGCCCAGTGTTTCCTATGCCCCAGACAATCAGGCGGAATGAAGAAGCCCTGTTCACACCTGCTAGTTAAATATTTCCTCTACTCTGGGTAGAGAAACTGCATGGTGAAGGAAGCTTTGAGGGGGAGGTCACAGAGATAGTAAATGGGAGGTCTCTGATGGGGTCACAGAACTGAAGTGAGGTTGGAGAGAACAAGAGTGTTTTGTCGTGGTTCCCCACCCCATTCAGCAACATGCTCTGGATAAAGACCAGGTCTGGCTGTCTTGAGCCATGCTGAACAGGAAATTCTCCGTGTAATTAAGAGCCTTCCTCTTTAAGAAGCTTCTTTTGTTCCATTTTGAAAACAATTTTTACTTAAATAAGAATATAAATACATTACTTAACATGAACTCTGAGTGAGGGAATCCAGAGGGTTGCTTCATGTAGTGTCTGGGAAGCCGCTGCTAGTAACTTGTGAGATTAATTGGAAATTTGTTCCCTTGTCAAAAGTTTAACTCTGATAGCAGCTTGTGTTTACACTCTAGTACTCTGAGTTTGGACTTTCCCTAGCTAGAGTACTCCGTCTGATCCCATAGAGTAAAGACCGCTACCTTAATAGAGAGTGTCTTATGTAAGTTCTGCCTGCCTGGCCAGTCACATGCCACAGCATCTTTCTTTGGTACCGGGCTCCCTCCAGTGGCCCAGTTCTGTGTCTGCCTTACCCAGGCTCCAGCTCCGCTGAAGACTCTGAGGAGTTAAGGCAGGGAACTGAAGAGGGAAGGCCTGGAAGCTTCTGGCCAGCCCCACTCTCTCTGACCTTGGAACTTCAGTTTTGGTTAAAATATAAGGTTATGACTTGATTTCACACTGGACACAGCCAGGCACTTACTGCTTGGCTTCTGGTTATGTGAGGTCAAAATCACTCGAGACCAGACATTGTGGCTCTTGTCAGTTTACCAGTTCCAGTCAAAAGTGCAACTCTGTTGGTTACATTATACAAGACAGTAGGTTGTCTTAAACTCGTGGGCAGAAAAACCTTTCCCCAATACCAAGTCTTTATTTAAAACAGAAAAGGGCCAGGAGAGGGGGAACAGAAAAGCAGATCTTCCTGTAAACAAGCTGGAAGTATGTGTTGAGAAAATCAATCTAAGGAAAAAAGAAATGTAGCAACTAGACACCCCAAAATGAGGGTGCCACACAGTGACTCCATCAGGACAGACACTGCCTTATAACATTTTCATACTTCACTCAGTTTTGAGTGGCTTGGGAAGAGTCAAGCAGTTTTGAAAGCTTAACATGTATTCTGGATTTATCGGTGGGAGCGGGGGGAAGCAAACCAGAAAAATAATACTATGGGCACCAACACAGTGATGCTCTTTGAGCTAAAAAAACAGCAATCCGATTTTTATATCCATCCACAGACATGGTTGTTGGCATGTTATCAAAGTTGATGAGAACATCAGCTACTTCACTTACATGAACTCTCCTTACAGCTCTGGTCAGTCTAGGAAAATGACTACTTGAGAGAGTGGCTTTTCATTCTTAGATAATTGGTTTTATGGAGTGTATTATTTTTACTCACTGATATTTCACAAATAGTTTACTGTAAACATGCACAAGGTGCATTATCTTTGAATTATATAAGAAATTTGGACTTGGATGGACACAAATGGAAACTCAAGACATACGGTCCCTTTTTTTATATTGCCTTTAGTCTGACTCCATAATTTCACTTATTTCACAATTAGGAAGGCACCCTGAATAGAAGACTCTGTAATAAACAAAGACTTTTGATCTTTCATGATATTAAAGGAGTATAGGAAGAGGCCTTCAGGACATCTTGTTTTGTTCTGTTGTTTTGTTTTGTTTGAGACAGGGTCTCCCTGTCCTCCCAGATGCCTGAAACTCATTATGTAGATCAGGATGGTCTCAATGTCACAGAGATCTACCTGCCTCTGTCTTTGCCCCTGTCTCCTGAGTGGTGGATTAAAAGCATGTGCTACCACACCCGGCTCCAGGGCAGCTCTTGATCAAATGTCTGAAACTTAAGGTGAATTCTCCAGATTTCCATTTCAGTTACCATAATTTTCCAAAGATATCTAAGGCATTATTAAAGAATGCAATCATCTGCAAAACCATCTACTTATATTTAAGGGCTCTAAAAAAAAATCTTGGGGGTTAAGCCAGACATGCTGGTACATGCCTGTAATCCCAACTTTTGAGAAGCAGAGGCAGGTAGATCTCTGTAAGATTGAGGCCAACCTGGTCTACATAGTGAGATCCAGGACAGCTGAGGCTACAGGGAGACCCTGTCTCAAAAAGACCCCCCGCAAAGATCTTGCGGGTAGTTCAAAATTTTGTGCAATAAAGTTTGGATATTCTTCCTCCTCAGTGGGCTATTAAGGACAACTGTTTAAAAAATCAGGGTTAGAATATAGAAAACAGAGCTGGAGTCACAGCTCAATGTCTGAGGGCTTGCCTAGCATGTTTGGGGCCCTGTCAATCCCTGGTACCAAAAATATGGTAGCAAAGGATAAATATATAATCAAGAAATCTGGATGGTAAATTGATAGTTTTGAAAGTGAAGGAACAGATTTTCACATAGTTCTTTCTAATGTCAGCTCTTAAAAAATATATTGATTTGCAATATTTATTGTTTGGTGTTGAAGATGTAGTATTTACATAGGCATTACCCTGTATCTGTAGGATTTGGTACCAGGATGTCCAAAGACACCAAAATATGCAGATGCTCAAGTTCCTCTTACAAAGCCACATAGTATAATCTTCCCATATTTAACTTGTCTCTAGAATACTTATAAAACTACATACAATATAAATGCTATACAAATAGTTGTTATTCTGTATTGTTCATGGAATAATCATAAGGAAAAATCTGTGTACATGTTCAGATGCACCCTTCTCTAAGTATTTCTAGTCCCACTCCTTGATTCTGCAGAAGCAGAACTCATAGACACACATGGCCTACTGCAAGCTGGGAGGCAGAAAGAGTAGAGATATGGAAGTTCGTCAAGCTGAACTTCGGTCTAAGGATCCCATTGCATGCTTTGAGACCCTCCTGCTTACTGGTGGGAGCTTAAATTTCTCCATCTTTTAAAAAGGGGTTGTTGCAAGGATTAAATAAAATTTGCAAAACATACTGTGTCTATTTAATAATATGTTTCTTCTTGTCTTCTTCACAAATATGTTGATTTATCCAGATGAAAATGTCTGAGTCATAGGCTTTTAGTCTAAACAATAGAAATTCATCAGTTTTGGTGAATGCTCTGATAAAGGGAGCCTCACTTTACTTGGCAACAAAGGAAAATTCTGAGGGATGCATTCTCTTTCAACATTTTATTGGTGACATTCCTTGAGCAAACAAACATTCATTTGCTTTTCTTATACTAAGATTTAAAATTAATCAGCACTTTAAAACCTGCAACTTGCCCTGATTTCCTGGAGGCTCATTACTAATTCTCCCTAAGACATTCAAATACCAAAGTGTCTCATCACCTGGGGTCATGTGCTAGAGTTGCTACATGCCTACGTGCCCTGGTCTTTTAGTGCCTTCTTTTTGAAAGCTATTATTGTTGAACAGGATGGAGGGATAGGCTTTTGGACTAGGAGAATATTCTCTCCAGCGTTACTCTGCACAGCACAAGCTCAATGCGGTGCCAGAAATGGATACATTATACTCCACAAGATGTGTGATTAGTCAATAGAGAGAGAGAAAAAAAGTCACATACACTGCCATCTTCCACAAAAAGGGAGAACATGCTATTGTAGAAATGATGATACCATGTGAAAAGGTTAATCATAGTCTGGCAATTACAGTGTTGGATGCAAACATACTTTTGCTGAGGCTGTGAGTTTCCTTGATTAGAAGCTCTGTTCCCTGCTGGGACCTTCTCCAGCACCAAGACATCTTGGTCATGTTCTTTAAGTCTGACTGTATTCGCCTCAACGTCCTGCAAATACAAATTATACCACATACAGATGCTGCTGTTCACTCAGACAATGCCAAAGATTTCAAATGCTTCAGAAACTCATTTGGTGCTTGTGATGCTAATTGTTGCGTCTACAAATTAAGTCATTTTCAAAGTCAAGGGCTGGAACGGTCAGAGGGAGGACTAGATGAGGTTTGAAGCCTGTGGTTTTAAAACTCTGCTTTTACCCTCCTAGCAGGAAAAAAAAAAAAAAAAAAAAAAAAAAAAAACAGAGGAGAATGTTGTCGTGCTGCTCTGAGAAATCTTTGGGCGAGGGTATGTAGCAGGCAGATGGGTGACCAGAGGCATTTATAAAAACATGTGACAATTGCACTGAGCTTCAGCAAAGTTCTTTTCTCTTTTGGGTACATTTAAGGATTTTCCTTAGGAATAGCACCTTTATTTTGTTCTGTTTTGCTTTGAGTGTATTATGGGGAAGGGTGAGGTGTACATGTTTTTGTGTGTGCAAGTTTGTGTATAGAGGTCGTAGATCTACATGGGGTGTCTTTGTCAATCACTCCCCACCTTATTTTTCAGATCAGAGTCTCTTACTGAACCTGGGGCCTGACTCAGACTGCGAGCCCCAAGGGCCCGCCTGTCTCCACCTCCCTGCACTGGGGTTACAGATATGCATGCTGTGCTTGGCTTTTTATGTGGGTGCTGGGGATCTGAACTCTGATCTTCATGCTTGTGCAGTAAACACTTTTACCAACTGACCCATCTCCCCAGCTGCAACAACTTTTTTTTAAGTTATATCAGTTATTTTGAATGGTTTTATAGATGATGTTAGTGATAAAATAGCCCACATCTGATTTTTTAAAAAATGATTTTATTTAAATTACATGTGCTTGTGCACAAGAGTGAGCCACCCAACTCTGGTGTGCTGGGAAGCGAACTCAGCTGTTCTGGAAGAGCAGCGACCACTCTCAACCACAGAGTCATCTCTCCAGGCCCCCAAATCTGATTTTTTAGATAACATTTTGGCTGAGTGTAGCCCCACGTGTGTAAACTTCAGAGTTAGTAAAGCTTGCCTTTAAACTTTAATATCTTTGAAATTTTTAGTATTCTTTTCCCTAACATTTGGCCTCCATTTTATTTATTTATTTATTTATTTATTTATTTATTTATTTATTTAATTTATTGGTCTTTTTGAGACAGGGTCTCCCTGTAGCCCCAGCTGTCCTGGAACTCACTATGTAGACCAGGCTGGCTTTGAACTCACAGAGAACCGCCTGCCTCTGTCTCCCAAGTGCTGGGGTTAAAGGTGTTCGCCACCATGTCCGGCTTGACCTCCATTTTAAAAGAGACCAGATAAGGATCAAACCAAATTCCAAGGATATCTTTTCCTATATTATTCAATGGTATAAACTTTCTGCTATCATTACTACTACGATGATGATGATGATCATCATCATCATCATCATCATCACAGGGTCTCATGTATCCCAGGTAGGCTTCAGATTCTGTGTTGCTGAGGATGATCTTGATCTTCTGATCCTATTGCTTCCATCTGCTGACTACTGAGATGATAGGTGTGCACTACCATGCCAGATTTACATGGTACTGATGAATGAACCCAGGGCTTTATGCACGATGGGCAAGCACTCTGCCAATTGTGCTACCCCCCCCACCCCAACCCTCTCAATGGTATGAACTTTAACTTTCTTTGCATTTTGACCACACATTGTTATCAGAAATGTTGCCAGCAGTAGCAAGGGCTTCAGGAAGTTTAAGGAGAGATGTCCACACTGAAGGACAGGGACAGAAGGGAGCTACCCAGGGAGTGGGCTTATTCAGGATCACAGGCTGCCTAAGAGGCCAGGGGTGGTGGGACACTGTCACCCCTTCCAAGTGACCAGGGACTTCATGGTGAGGAAATAGCAGTGGCCATTTCCTCTCAACATCCCACACTCCCACAGATATCTATCTTCAAGAGCTATAGGAGGCTCTTCTCGGGTGCAGTTCCCAAGCTCTGCTACCAGCCCAATCATTCATCTATTTGTCAATGTCTGAAACAGCTTTAGCTTGAAACAATTTGAGATAAAGTCCTTGAATGAAAATGCTCTGTTGGATTAACTACAATTGGCGTTAATTTCCACTAACGTGCTAAGTCAAGGGTGTGTGAAGATATGAGAAAAGTTCAGATTTGGGAAGAAATGGGAGGTGGACGCTAGGAAGATGTGGGGCAGTGGGAGGCTGCCACTGTGTTGGAGGATAGGGTGGGAAAGGACACAAAAAGGGAGGCCTAGGATTCCCAGAGAAGCTTCTTAGACTTTGACATTTTTCCAAGGCAGTTGCTATTTATCGTGGGTTCACATGGACCAGTATAGGCCTGTACAGAGGTATTTGGTCCAACACAGCATCCTACATTTGATGTTTGCTGCTGGTCTCCAGAATGCACACCAGCACACTGAACATGTCTGTCTTGTAACAAAGGCCCTTTGTTCCTAGAGCATCCATTCATCACAATTCTGCAGGACCAATACTCTACTCAAGTCTTTCATAGTTGAGAAGGGGGAAAGTCGATATCCTTTAGCCAAAGTTTGCTATCAACTCACCCTCAGGATCCGGTTGAAATCCTCTTTGTCGACTCTTAAGAAATGGCAATTATCTTCTCGGAGGACAATGGAGGCAGCTCGTGGCGCATCATTCACTAAAGCTAACTTGCCAAAGTCATCTCCCTCATGTAGGGTACAGACCACACCCTGGGGAGAGCAGGACATTCAGATCGAATTCACCAAACACCCACGTACCTCTCACCCCTGCCCCCAAACACTGTGTATACAAATGGACTGTACCTAGGGACACCAAAGCAGGATTATATAATTAAATTATAATGCTTAATTTTTCTTTCACAGAGTAAATATAGTTGGTCAGCAGTCTAACTTAAAAGCAAACATTATATTGAGCCCCAGAAAGTAAAATATTGAGTCCAATAATTAAAAATGAAATCACGTCTTTTCTACATTGAGTCACAATGTCATGGTAAATTTACATGTAGCCCTATCTTGTTACTTAGAGCCATCTTAGCAAATGAAATATAGTAAAGTTTCAAAAAGAAAAAAAAGAGATATATAATGTATACATACCTTTCCATAAATGACTACATTCACTGATCCTTTTAGAATAATGTACCAGGAGGTACCTTCTTCCCCCTGGTTAAACACTAGACACAAAAAGATGAAAAGACTTATGACAAGAATAGAAGCACATCAGTATAAATTACAGCTTATCAAATCATCATTTTTAAGTCTCCAGAATTACGCATACATAAAATAAAAAAAAATTACTGGCAAATCCTAACTTATTCAGGTGGAATGTTATTGTTCTTTCTATAGGACATAAAAGGAAGAGAGACTTACTATTAGCTATGGCCTGAAAGACAGGTCTTTACTGGGTATCAATTTGCTGACAATCCATTTCTTAATAGAATGCATGTTTCCCCCACAGTTCCTAAAGCATTGTGTCATAGAAAATAGTTTTTAAAAATGATCTGACCAGTAATATGAAGTTTGAAAACATGTAAACTAGCATTCTATCTTGTTGATAAATACCTACCTACACCTATTTTTTTTAATTGGGTAGAATGCTAACCACTACATTCAGGGAAGGAATTACCTCAGAGGGAGAGAAAAGAGGAGAAAGGGAACAAGAGGCATGCAGCTGAAACCGTGCAATTTCATTATTTAGAAAACATTTAAGCTGTGGTACAAATGGGAGTGTTTGACAAAAATTAAAATATTTTAATGTTCTCTATTTTTCTTCTGAAACATTTAAGTATTTCATAATAAGGTGAAAACAACTAGTACATTAGAATGAAAAGCACTAAAGAGACATTGCAGGTCATCAAGAATCATAAAAAGAAAAATTATTAAAGTGAACCTTAAAATGTAAAGAACTAGCATTCTTGCTAGAGTAAGAATCAGTGACAGAAATAGCAATCTGACTGAATATGAGACATTTCATGATATAATTTAAAATTCATTTTCCTATTTATTCATATTTCCTATCATTTAACCTTCACAATGTAGCCTAACAAAAAGCAACAATTTCCAAAACGTGTATGTCTCTTGGAAGTTTAATTGGTGCCTATTAACAAAGAGCTCTGTGCTTCACTCAGTTTAGGAAGCATCAGTTTAAATATGGCGATCGGTTTCTCTCTGACGCAGAACCTCTGAGAACCTTCAGGATGCTGATGTCTTCTGATTCTGTTAAGAAGTTAGACAAGGAGGCATTGCCCAGCCTTCCTCAATCCCTAACCTCTATTGTTGGAGAAGGATTTTGTAGGAATAGTGGGAAATGCCAACTTCAGCAATACTGCTCACATCTATTAATATCAAATTTCTTGCTTTCAAACAGGACCACAGAACTGAAGGGCAACCCGAATTCTATCGAGATGCAACATATGATTAACACTGCGTAAATATCTGAGGCGATAAAATGCCCTCGGCCTCAGAGCCCACAGTGCAAGGTGAGGAAGGAACAACAAACATGATGTTTTAAACACCACCATAACCATCAATTTCAAGATCCAAATGAATTCTTTTTAAAAAATTACATTAAAAATTTTGAGAGTAGGTATTATATAGCCCAGGATACCCTCACACTTGCTATGTAGCCAAGGATAACCTTGAACTTCTGACCGTCCTACTTCCACCTTCTGAGTGCGGGGATTATAGGCATGATCTACCAACCCCAGTTTCAGTAGTTCAGGGGATTGAACCCCGGGAGTGTTTCATGAATGCTAGGCAAGCATTCTACCAACTGAGCTATATCCTCAGCCCCAGATTAGACCTTCTAAATCTATAAACTGAAGTGAAGTTGCCATGGAAGCTGCCACCCAAGACCCGGACCAAGCAAATTCTTCATCCCACCCACTTTAGATGCTGCCTCAAGCGAGAGGGTAGAGACCAGTAGGCCTCAGGCTAGCAAGTGCTGCACGTGTGGAGCTGGAAAGCCACCATACTTCAAATTAATTGACATGATCTGGAATAATCACAGGTCCAGAGAAGCACAAGTGCCAAGTGACATCCTGCCAGGGCAGAGTGGGGTCAGCAGGAAGAGCGTTGCCCTTGTACCATGCACAGTGGAAGGTGTGCCCAGGCAGGCATAGTGCTTCCTCAGAGCTCACTTACACACAGTTCCTCCTTTGGCATGAGACTCAAAAATGAGAACACCTGCTAACTCCCGTTTTACCTAGAAAGAAAAGAAAGTAGAAAGGCCAGGTATGGGGTAAGGATTTGTGTTTAATGTGGGTACTGTTACCTGTGGTCCCTGGGCTTGTCTCCCTTGTTTATACAAACTCCCACTATCCAGGACCAGTTTCACTAGATTTGCTTCTGGGCTTTCAAAATCTGTACGAAAGCTTTTTTATAGAACAGTTGATAGCAAATTCATACCAGGCAGCCTCCTCAGAAACTGTTTAACATTTATTGATCCATCCATCCATCCATCCATCCATCCATCAACCAACCATCTATTCGATGGGGAGGGGTGCTCACATTCTACAGGGCATGTGTAGAGGTCAGAAGACAACTTGTAAGAGTCAGTTCCCTCCTTCTACCATGTGTGTTCCTGGGATCAGGTTTGGCAGCAAGTACCTTTACCTGCTGAACCATCTCACAGGCCTGAGGCTGTTTAAACATGGGGCTGACCTGCTAGATTGTTTGCCTATCTTTTGCCTTGAGTACAAAGGTAAGGCATCTGACTCTTGCTATTAGTGGTCTTTACCAACATCATACATACTGCATCATTGCAAATCCCCTGGGAAATTCAATGTCTTCAAGTTGTATAACTAAATGGGCAGACTTACATTTCAAGACAGCTGAAAGTCTTAATATTCCTAGAGAGTTAAAATTCCAGTCTCTTTAAAAATATCAAATTATGTTCTAAAACATCAGCTTTAACTCCTTACAGAAGAAATTAACCTGAGGATTTTCCAAGGTGCCAGGTACTTGGGATTTGAGGTAGAACAGACAACCCACAATTCTTTTAATTCCACCGAGATTGGGGAAGTCAGAGCAAATACATGCTGGGAACTTAAAACACAAGCTAGGACGAAGAGGTCTTCCATGGCTGAGACCCAGAGAACCTCAGTGGTCTGCAAGGCTCTCCAAGCAAGACTCCCAGGCACCGAATCTACCCTACCATGGGGGGGGGGGTACTGGATGGGTAGGAAGGGATGGATGAGCCCTTGAACATTCCATGCAAATGAGTACATTTTGAATCCCTAGGCAGTAAGAGGAGCCCAAAAGCAGACCTGACTAATGAGGGGACAGAGAGGGCTTGGAGTCCTTCTGCTTGGAGCTGAGGCAAATGCTTTCCAGCTCTCAGCAGAAACCTGCAGCTCAGCTCCCATCATCAGAGACCAGCAGATACTGGCACTAGAAGAGAACCTGACAGCACCTTCATTCAGCTTGGAGCAAAAGGTAAGTGAGCCAAGCTGATTCTGCTTAGGAGCCGTAGATAGAGACTGTGACAGCTGAAGCTACCTTCCCCTTCTTCCTCTTGAACTTATATTCCTACGCAGGTGTTTCTATCCCTATCAGAGACAGCATTTCCATCTCCTGGCCAGGTCTGATTAGTGGGTAGGAATGCTGTGCCCAGACCTATCTTAACCAATGTTCTCTTGAACCATCTGCTTCTTTTCCTTCTTTTCTTTCTTTCTTTCTTTCTTTTTTTTTTTTTTTTTTTTGGTCTTTTTGAGACAGGGTCTCCCTGTAGCTCCAACTGTCCTGGAACTCACTATGTAGACCAGGCTGGCCTTGAACTCATAGAGATCTGCCTGCCTCTGCCTCTGCTTCCCAAGTGTTGGGATTAAAGGCATGCACCACCACGCCTGGCTCTGCTTCTTTTCTTAGTAGGGCAGTCTATGGAACAGGACAAAGATCTAGAGTCCTCTTCTTTTTTTTCATTTTTTTGTTCTTTTGAGGCAGGGTCTCCCTGTAGCCTCAGCTGGCCTGGAACTCACTATATAGACCAGGCTGGCCTTGATCTCACAGATCTCTTCCTGCCTCTGCCTTTTGAGGGCTAGGATTAAAAGTGTGAACCACGGTGCCCCACCCTAGATCCTCTTCTTATTCCTTCTAGTTCCACATATCAAGAAGATATTCAGAGCCCCTCCCTAGGCCTGGCTCTCTTGTCTACAGCTTCTAAAATTCAGATTTTAGAAACACATGTTCCAATCCTTCATTCTCTCTCTCTCTCTCTCTCTCTCTCTCACTCTCTCTCTCTCACACACACACACACACACACACCATATATTAGCATCTCATAAGAAAGTGGAATGATTTCAAAGGTGGAATTTACCTCATCTCCCAATCATCCTTTCCCCTAACAACACCTCTAATTCAAACTTGGCTAGTTTGACTAAGAGACAACTTACTGTGGTTGAAAGATGGGATAAGGCTTTGATATGAAGGAGTTCATCATAGATAATCTCTAGGTCATCCACAGTCCTCTGGCCAGGTCTACAAAGAAAAAGATAAATAAAAATGTTGTTATGAAAGTTTCAAATATGGAAATGGATCCAGGAGTCAGTAACATGCTCAGGGATTTATTCTATATAAAAAGATATTGGCACAGGGAGAAATTGTGTCACAATAATCCATAAAGGGATCTTTGAAATGAATATATTTCTGGGAAGGTTGTGGGAGAAGTCAGATGTATATAGGCTCCCTTCCCTTCTAATCTCAGAGGGAAGCACACCTCCACATGGTTATTGGTTAACTTAACTGGTACTTTGTAGGCAATTGTTGTAGAACATTGCTTTTTATTACGACCTTAATCAATAATGACAGAACTTTCCACTTAAACCACTAGGGACACTTGGTTGAATTAACTTGACAACAGACCACATTCCTTGAGTTCTTATGGTGCATCTTAACCTACCAAAACAGTAACACTACTGCTACTACCGCTCTGGGCTATGCATCATGCTTCTCCTAGAGGACTCAAATATGGGATGATTTCTTACTTAGCCCAAGGAGATGTGGCCACAAGGTGAGAGCAAGACAAATAGCAGTGATTTGTAAGACAGGAAAAGGAGAAGCATGTCTATAGTTCTGAAACTCTTCCATGGACTACCGCTGTTCATAAAAGGTTAATGATTTGTGTAACTATTTTTAATTCCAAAATTTAGTATTATATAAAATTAGTATACAGTAATATACCTTTGAAGAATGGGGTAACAGGACATTTTTAGTATAGAAGACTGAGAGGAAGAATTCCTAACTGCCCTTTGTGTCTATAATTTTGGAATCACTAATGGTATGTAATTACATTAATGATAAGAGATATGATTAGTCAGTAATTTGAGTTTCTTATTGTTTCTTGAAATATAAGGAAGTCTGACTAATATGTTCTTGAAAGTTACAGCTGGGTTATTAATTCTGAGAGGGCTAAGAAGTCAGCAGAGAGATGATGTATACATTGGTAGATGGGTAGGCTTTACTCTAGCTAAGTATCTGGAACTAAGTCATGTACATTATGTATTGCATAATCATCAGTCTACCTTATTTATCTTTTCCTAAAATTCCAGTTACTTATGCTATTATTCAATGTTACTCTATGTTAAACATGCAATCCTTAATGAGGTACTGATGTCATTCCATCACTATACTGTCATTTAAAGTGTTCCCTTGGTCATATAAACTTGGGAAGGGCTGGAATACTGAACAGAACACTGGATGCAGAGGTCTCAAGATCCAATTCTATCTTTCACCACTCACTATCCCTCTAATGACCCACTGGAAAACCAGAGACAATTTCTGCTTGAGAGAGTTGTGAGAATTAAGAGAGACAGGGAACATTAAGGCACTAACATGTTTATTTGTGTAAGAGGAAAACAAAATCCAGCAAAAAGCTACCCAAAACTCAAACCAAAGTGAAACAAACTTACAACAAATTGGTCTAGCAATTTATATCTGGAATTAAGTCAACTACAGAATGTTCAGAGCTCCATTTGTAAATATGCTAACATAGTTAGCTGGATAATGTAAACAGATTATCATATGAAGTGACAGATCTACTTGGAGCTAACAGGATGAAGAAAACTTCATAGTTTATATATTACCTTCATATGGACAGCTTTGTCATGAACAAAAAAGTACTACGACCTTCTTATACTGAATCAACAGAGGATCTAGTTATTAATCCTGACTGCACGAAGACAGATACCAAGTCCATGGCCTGGGAGATGCCAGCCATGTTAACTTCCCACTAAGGATCACACAACAGCACACCAATCTAGTGCTTAATGGTGGAACCTAGAAAGTACAGGACCCAGAAAGACACTGAAGAAAAGCTGGGGCCACAGGGGTGCCAAAGGAGCCAGGCCTCCTTGGGGAGATGCCTAATCTACTGCTTGACTTAGATGTGGGGATTTTGAAGCGAGAACCCTTTGGGATTTAAAAGTCAATCAAGTCACCTCCATGCATCTACCACCACAGAGTCAGCTACCGGGACAGCTGCAGGTAGACATAATAGGATTACAGCTCTTCGGCTTGAGGAGCAGGCCCTGCTGTTCATGCTGCTTGACATCAGCTGCAAACAGCACGGATGCTCAGAGATGCTTGGCTAGAAGAGAAAAGAGTTACTGGATCTCCTCAACCCCTTGGTGTGGGTTGTGCTGAAAGGAGGAGGAAAATGCAGCCTTGAAATCAGTTTGAAAATCTTGACAGATTCGACGTTGGAATTTGGGGAACAGATCTCTGGGTGTTTAGGAGGATTTATGTCATGACAATATGAAATCCATATTGCTCAATTTAGATGTCTTTTAAAAAGTACTCTTTAGAACTTGCAAATCTCATTACAGTAAAAATAATTATATTTCATCTAAGATTTAAAATATGATGAACTGTTAAATCATCTAGACAGTATACTCAAAATTTACCAGTGTTGAATCCTGCCAGATAGTCTTAGTATGTGCACCAAAGTGTGGGAAAGACAGGTAAAGATGGCAGCATTCAGGCTGTTTTTGAAACACACTCTATTTGCACAGTGCCCCCTCCCCCAGCCCTGTCTGAGCACTCTTCTCCCCATCACTGCCTGCCCTCACTGCCTCCCCATCACTGCCTGCCCTCACTGCCTCCCCATCACTGCCTGCCCTCTATCACTGCCTGCCCTCTCTGCCTCCCCATCACTGCCTGCCCTCTCTGCCTCTCCAGCTTTCCTTGCCCCTCTTCTCCATGTCTGTTCTCTTCTCAGTGTGCTCTACCATCAAGGATCTGTTCTACCTTCTCTCCCTGATGAAAACCCCAATTCTCACCTTCATAGTTACGGGACCTAACTCATCATCTCTGAACAGCACCCTTTCTTGACCTCCAGAGGCCTCCTGGCCCTCTCTTCCCAGCCCTGATAAGTACCCCAAGCTCAATCTATCCAGAAGCGTTTCCACAGCATCCCACCAAAGCTCTTGATTTACTTTTCTAGACTCATCTATCCCCCCTTCACTTCACACCTTTCCTGATAGCCATGTTGTCTGTTCCAGCCATCTGGACACCTCTTTACTTCCTCAAATATACCAGCCTTCATGTCTGGAAGACTTCCTGCAGGCCCCTCTCAGCCTAGGATGCTTCTTTCTTTGGCTGGTCACCTTCATCCAGGCCTCAAGCCCATCTTAGGTATCACCACCTCTAGGAAAAAGTACCTTGCCAGCCTTTGTCCTTCCAAGACACATGGCTGTATTGCTATGGTTAATTTGTAACATACTCTGAGGAATGTTATTTGCTTAACTATTCCTAACTCTAACCTCAGGAGAAGCAGGCATCAAAAGGCATGGTCCACTAGATTAGAGTTAGAAATTGGCTAAACATGAACTCTTTAGTTATGCATCTGGTCTAGCAGCTGTTTTCTGCATATGGAAAATGGGAATGCCAAATGGGATTGCTGTAAATGTCCTATGAGGGAAGGCACACGAAGCACTGTATATATAGGGAAGATGTCAAAAAAGAAGACATTATTATTAGGCAGGTGTTCATCACAGTTCTTTAGATAGATGAGCACAGGACTTCTTACTATTCATGATGAATTTAGAAGTGATTCCATAGAACAGCTCTTGTTCTGTGGCCTGAAGAAAATGGGAGTTTCTGCTCTGTGATCATCCCACTGAGGGTTAAGTAATACAAGGTGACCACAGCACATTTTGTTTTGAATTTTCATCATGGCAAATAACTAAGAATTGTCCTTATCTGTGGTCTTCCTCCCTTATCTGTGGCTTTTCTTTCTGTGATTTCAGATACATGCAGTGACTGGAGGTCCAAAATTACTAGATGGAAAATTCCAGAAACAACCTATAAATTTTAAATAACTTTTGCTGTAGTAAGTATTTGTGAATGCACTACTTTATTATGTCTAATTTATTATTATTTTTATTTTATGTGTATGAGCATATTGCCTGCATGTATGTAAGTGCACCCATGTCATGCGATGCCCACAGAGGTCAGAAGAGGGTGTCTGGAGCTACAGATGGTTGTTAGCCACCATGTGGGTGCTGGGAATTGAACCCAAGTCCTCTGCAAAAGGAGTCAGTGCTTTTAACTGCTGAGCCATCACTCTAGCTCCATTATGTCTAATTTATAACCTAAACCTTATCATAGATGTACATGCACAGGAAAAAATATAGTATCTATAAGGTTGGGTACCATCCCCAACTTTTAAGTATCCTTGGAGCATCTTGGGACATCTTCCATAATAAAAGGGGTTTTGTAATTTTCAGTAGAGGGAAGAAATATGATGAAAACAATCAACTTTACCTCTTAATATAAATTCTATGAATGATTTAAAAAAACATATTCATACAGTTACTTCAACATGCAGTTGAAGTTACTCTGTGTCAAAGTGAGTGGAGGCCTGGATTAAGGTGACCAGCCAAAGCCAACCAGTAGCACTCGTTGGGCTAGAACCTTTTTTAGTCAGACTTGTCTGTCATATGAAAGATCTGATGAGAAATAAGTAGGCACCACCACCATACCCCATAACTGGGTATTATCAGCAGACCAGGTAGTTTTCAAAAGTTTGAATAGTAGAAAGCACATATCTTAGGGATAAGATTGGAAGCTCTTCAACCTGATGCTCACGGAAGACATCACCATAGGAGATACGCGGTAGCACAGGTGACAAGCTCTGCATAAGCACGCACATGTCTGTGAGGGGGTATCTCAGTGGTTCAGTAACTGAGTGGCCTTCCACTCGGGTCAGCTGGGTCTGAGGGCACTCCTTGACCATACCCAACACACTGAGGAGACAGTGGTAGAGTTTATTGCTGGGGGATAACCTGAGACCTGAACTCTTTGAAAAAGTCCAGGGAGAATTCTCAGGGTGACTGATGGAACCTGAGGATGCAGAACAGAGATAGTGGTTTGGGAGAAGCATAGTTGAAAAAGGGACAGTTGCTGTCCCAGAAAGGGCACAGAATAGCTTCATGCCTGAGAAATTCTCTTTGGCAATGAGTGGGAAGACCAGGGAGGTT